AAGACCAAGGAGATAAAACAAGGACCTTGAGTAACATTAGTGACAACATACGCACAGGAAATGTTCTTGTTTGATTTATTTGAAACAGCTATTATTTTGCAATCTAAATTTTGCATCTAAATACTCTAATATTTCACAATAACATAACATCAAGGAAATGAAATTATCAAAACAAAACTGCATCTCAAAATGAAATATTCTTTTCCCATCCCCTTTGGAATCTCTCTTTTACAATGAAGGCATGTTGTGCCTGCATTAGTACAGTCTGTTAGGCAAACATGTATTGGTAATGGCATTCAAAGTACTGATTCTGCAGCAAGGCAGGAGAATTGGGAACAATGACCTCCCTGACTGGTGTCAGGGGATGGGGGCTTCCCATGGGCATCAGGACAGGGCCCATCCCACTGTCCCCAGCAGAGAGTAGATGGAGACAGCCCCAGCCCCAGGCATTGAGCAACTCCCTGGGGCCAGGGCCAGGACAAAAGAGGGCTGGAACTTTGGCCCATGGGTAGAGATCAGCATCAGGCCTGGTGAGGGGAACCAAGAGAGATGCAGTCCCAGGATGTTTGAGGTCATGGGAATCTGTAGGGTGGACAAATCCTCTTTTTCTACCAGCAGTTCCATATGCCACATTCTTACTTTGTGTCTTCTCTTTGTCTTTGCAGTGTATAATTCTAGTGTGCAAGTACTTGCTCCAGGGAAACGGTGAGGAAGTATTGTTTCCTGACTCAACTGGTATGGTAATTTTGTCATCAATAGGATGACTCAGGGAAGACTTAACTTCCAGAAATTTATCCAACTGTCCAGAATCTCTGAACTTTTCAACATCTTTTGGGTAAGTCCTTCCCACTGCATTCTATTAGTGTATGATTTTCAAACTGCCCTTACCACCATTATATCCAAATATTTTCTGATAAGACAGTCATCTATGTGACCAACATGTCAGGGGTTTTTGCTCTCCTGATCTCTCCCTTTGGCAGGAGGGAGAACTCTCTAATGATTTTGTTCCATGCCTAGTGCCACTCTCTCTGTCTTGTACAAATACCTCCTGAGGAAAACTTTTTATGCAATGCTAAACATTCACTGGAGAGCTAGAAAATGAGTCTGTATTTAATCAGCGATAAGACATGTAAGGTGTCATGTGGGCCCAGCTCCTGCACTAAGAGATGTTTCAATGCTTTTGTAGACTGCAAGAGCAGAAAAGGAGATAATCCTACAATTGCAACTGCAAGAAACTCTTCTAAAGTGGATGTGGATGCAGAAATCATCTGAGATGGAAAGAACTGAATACAGATTTCTCACATCCTGAAAAAATATTCTATAAGTCATATGATCTGCTCAGGAAACCTTAGGCATCTAGTCTTTGACATCTTAACAAACATCTTAACAAAAAAAGATGGTATTTTTAGGTGTTTGCAGAAAATATGTATTAAACAGAAAACTGTCAAACAATGCAATGCTGATAGAGGCCCTTTTTTTTTGTGCCATACTGATCATTGCATTTGCTAATAATGTTGGCCACTGAGGACAAATGCTTCTTTAATACGATGGGATCTAAACCCAATTTCCTTTTCCCAACCCTCTCTAATCATCAAATCCAAAAGGATTTAGGCTCTGAGTGGAAAGATGAAGAGCTCTTCATTTTTCTCTTTGAAGATGTCCCATTTTGCAAAGAATAATTATGTATTCTTTTGACAGAGAGACCAAGGGCACCAAATTGCATATTGCTCTCTAGACTACTAGTTAGCTCATTAACCTGCATGTGGGGAGAGCTCAGCAGTGTAGCACCCATGTGATTTTACATTATTTTATTTTATAATCACTATTGTGGTGCTTTTTCTCTTATTATTTTGATTTAGGAACTGTGTTCTGTTCCCACCTCTGCAATAAACTGCATTATGAAATTTCTCAGTTATGCTTCAGGAAAATAAGGATAGTGATACAGGCATCTGTCATAACACTGAAGTGTATTTTGCCTACTAATAAAGGATATAAAAGTGCACAGAACAGCAGTCAATAGAAATCTATCTTTAAAATAAATGTTTTTTCAATTTCCATAGATTTTTCAGTGCTCAAGGTTGTATTTTTGCATTAGAACATAAGATTTTTTTTTTTCCCCTGAAACTACAGATCTAGGAATATTAGCAATGTGTTCAGTAAAGTGGTAGATTTCACTCTGTGAATTAAACACCTAAAGAGTTTGCATGCAAATGGTGGTTCCAGTTTATACCAGATAGAATAGAAACAGGAAAGCAATCTCCTCAGTCCAGTAAAACATCATGCAGACTTCAAGTATTTTCTGTTACTGCATTTCATGTCCTTATTCCTGAGCAGTGGGAGGTCTGGAAATTATTTATATAAAAAAGAAAAAAAGGTAAACTACCTGATTTTGCCTGGATTTTTTTTCCCGAATAAATGGTACTTTTTGGATTAGATTTACTAAACAGCATGCAATTTTATTTCATTAATAATAAAATTAAAATAATTCCTGGAACACGGGAAGTGACAACTGGAATTAAAGTAGCAAAACTAAACCCAGGAGCCTTCATATTGGTTTCTATATGATAAGGGCTAATTGAACTCCACCTTTAATTATAAACGTACAATTGGTGAGCCTGTTACTAAACTATTCATAATGCCAGGAACCCCTCAAAAATAGCTGACATAAATGGTGAAAAGCACAATGAAGTATCACCATTAAAAAGTAGTATTTGGAGCAGAATACAATAATATATCCGGGAAGGAACTTTGTAAATTGTGAAGGACAAAGAAATGTTCCAGGATGTTTGATTCTGGGGGTTCAGGACTGGCTCAGGACCAGTGCAGCCAAGGGTGGCCCTGTCCTGCTCAGGCCATAGTTGGAGGCTCCCTGGCATGGAGCTGCGAGATGGCCATGGCCAGGCCTGACTCTGATTCCCTTCACTGATCCTGACCTGGACCCCTACCCCGAGGCCAACAGCCCAGCTCAGCCTCACACCATCCATCCCTGTGTCCAGGGAGATGCTGGATTCCAGGGTTTCCCCCCCTTCCCACCCCCTGTGAATAGGTCTAAAAAAGAATATGATACCCCAATTGCCATTATTTTTCAATTTAGCTGTGATTGATGTAATATAAACAAGTACTTGGAGTGCCATGGAGCAGATTTATTTTTTGTTTTGGGTTTTTGTTTGCTTGTTTGTTTAATTTTTAACAGATTGTTTCCAGCAGCTCAGTGAGGTTTAATGATACTATTACAAGGTATATTGCATTTCCTCCCTACATTATATTAATTACCTATCTTTTACTTCCAGCACTCTGTCTCTCTTCTCTTTCTTTGTTGACAGCCAGAATATAAATCAAACCAACCCTCTCTCAAAAACTGAATGGCTGTGAGCTCCAAGGGCATCATTTAGCCGCATCTTCAGGGGGCTGAGCAGGAGAATGTTTGTTTGCATTCATCTTTTTTTTTTTAGCAGACAGTGTAAGCAACAACAAATGTATTGTTCTCACAGTGAAATCTTTCTCTTTTGTGATATCTGTGTTCCTGAACAAAGCACTGTTTAAGCACCAATTAATGTCATCTATGAGACTAAGAAAAGCAGGGAACTCTCTTCTCTCTTCCTCTCTTTTTCTTCTTCGCATAGGAACAGTGCCACACCACTCGTTTTCCATCAGCAACCCATAAAGTTCAGTCCTAAATTATTCTGATACCTGTCCAGAAAAGCTGTAGTGATGGAATTACTAGGGTAATGGGGATGGAATTACTAGGTAATTCTGACATCAGGTTTCATGTTGGTCTTTTTTCCATGTTATTCTCAACAAACGAGAATGCTCTCCCTCCACTGAGGTGAACATGCAAACCCTTCAGAGGACTGTTTTTAAACTCCAAGTAAAAGTCTAGACAAGAAAAGATGACAGGAAACATCTTTCAGTCTAGGTCTGAAAGGAGTTAATGTGCTTAGTACCTGTTTGTCTCCTTCCAGAGCAAAACTTTCCAAACATTCATTGTTGAGGTTGGTATTTTCTTTGCTTGTTTTGCTCACATTTTCAACCAGCAGCTATGGCACTGTAAGAAGACTCTGCTCCAATGAATTTTTACTTTTCTGAACTTCTGCATAGTAAAGACATGAATCTATCTTTTCAGGACTGCATTTCTGTTTTTGTTTAATGAGAAAACCTGAACAGTGACATCATTTAACTTGTGTTATTTTGCTTTGAGAAAAAATTTTCAGAAATGTCTGTTTTAAACTGACACACAGACATGTCCAAACTTCCAAACTTGATTGAGCAGCTTTTAAAAAGCAGAGCTAGTAAAGTTTCCCTTTTTCTGATGTCAAATAATTTTATCGTAGGCTGCACTTGCTTAAAAATGCATAAAAAACGAAAGCTTCCTTTGGCTCTCCTTCAGATCACTGCAGCTTGGGCCATTGCCTTTAATAGAATTAGGCTCTGATGCATATAAAATCCAACTCAGTTTTGCAACCTGAACGTTTGGATCCAAGACTTCTAAAACTTAAGGTTGGTTTGGTTACATTCCCTTTATCATGTTGCCATAAGGCTTTGTTATACAATACATTGCTCTTCGCTGTTAGCACAACTCAGAGATGGTTATTCAAAATATGCTTCTAAGTTGAGCATCAAATAAACTTTAAAGTGCATGTGTTTGAAAGCATATGGTTTTCCTAATTGTTTGGCTTCAATGGTTTTTCCATATTGTATAATATACATCAATATCATAGTATATATTAACTTATCGTCTTAGTCGCTCTTCAGTAGGAATGGTAAATGTTATCTGAATCCTGTTTGCATTTTTGGTATCTTCTGCTTGCCTAAAGTGGTTAACATCCAGAGGACACTTTAATCAGTGCTGACACAGAGAACTAGAGAGCTTTAGTACAGTGTGTTTCATCTTGACTCAGCAAGATTTTCAGCACTCACATTTATACAGTTTTTTGACAGGATGCTTCTTAAGTGAAGCATCTGCCTTCTGGAGAACTACACCCACAGAGATTTCATTTGTCTTGATGTCTGTTAATATCATGAACTTTATTAACAAAATCAAATTCAAAAACAATTCAAGAAAGCTGTCCAAGTTAGTTCTTGCTCATTTCTTACATATGAGGTTATCTACAAAAGCACAGATGCTCAACAATGGCTGTGTGTATTCGTTTATATATATGTATACATTTCTTAAAGACAAAATGAAATAAAGGAGCTCTTTAAGAAGAATTTGATCTCTGATTGTAGGGATCAGTGCAAAGGATTTAACTCACAGTTTAAGAATTTCTCATGGCACAGTATTATAATAAAATCCTACTGGTTGCCTTTTACATTACTGCAAATAGAATAAACAACTTTCTATTCTTTATAGACATCTGATGCTAATGTTTTGCAATCAAATTGCAATAACTAAATGTATATAAAAGATGCTTATTTTGGCCCCTATACCTATGTAGAGATTTTAATTCACAAGTCCAAATGCCATAAAACTCAAGACTTGAACATGGAACAATGGCAGGATAAGATCAACTTTCTCCATGTAAGACATACAAATATTTAACAGCCTTGCAAAATTGCAATGGCAATTTATCAGCCTAGGAAGACTATCTATCCACCCTTTACCCTGAGGAATGATATTACTTTAAAAAATAACAAAAAAACCTCCTTCTATGAGCAGGTAACATTTTGGAAGTCAGAAACTGAGTTGTGTGCTTGGTTATGGGTCTAATGCATGAAGAAGAGGCCAACCGTAATTCTTGAATGCAAAAATCCATTATTACTGAGGAACAAGTCTAGTTTTATAGTACCATACATGTGTTTCTGCCCTTCTATTTGCATTTACAGAAAGGAGCATATTTATGTAAGAAAAAAATTCTGTGGCAACTTACCAGAATTTGAATTATAATTATATGCACACACATATCTCCCCTCACAACTATATAGTGGCTATAATGTGGGAATCTTTACAAATTGTATTTATCTCTGTATTTTCATTTCACTTAATTTTGCAACAATACCAACAAAACATTACTACATCTTGTTCAAACAATTTGAGAATCTGTTCATGGAAATACTTCTTTTCTTTCCCTCAATAAGCAGATTAGTAAAAACTTGAATTAAATGATTGGAATTTTATTTCAGGTAGTGAAATGTTTTAATATTTCTAAGTTTTGGAAAAATCCATCTGGAAGAAACAAAAGTCTGGTTTTGAAGAATTTGAATAGGCAAGCTGCTTAGAAATCCATTGCTACATATCTAAATCAGGAATTGAAAAAAAGATTTACAGACCTGATTCTATTTTGTTATCCTTTATAAGACCCTGTCTTCTGTGCTTGAACTCTAATTTACTTCAGTAAAGAAAGACAGTTCTTCACACTGACAGCTTATTCTATTATGCTCATAAATTGTACATTTAAACATTAAATATTGCTTCTAATAGCTAATTGAAGGATAGAACATTCTTACCCCTACAGCTGTGCACAGATCACATCCTCCAAACCTTAGCATGCCCTACTAGGAACATTACAGAACAAGACTGAGAGCCTAGTCCGTACTTTTTCTCTGAGGCAAGTTTAAATACCCTTATATCATCCCTGATAGGTATTTTTGAACTGTTTTTGAAAACTTTTCTTATCCCAGTTTTATGGGTATTGATATTTCCCCTTAATATCCAATCTAAACGTTTCCTGATTACTTCAGTTCACTGTTGTGTCCAATATACAAATCAGAATCCTTCAACATTTGCATCACATACGCTTAAAGGAAGAGGAAAATACAAAAGCTGATGTTTAAAGGCATTTACATACCTATCTCTGCAGATAGGCACTAGTAGCGTGATGGAATACATGGGAGATGCTGAGCAAGACAATTTCAGTGGGAGGTGGCTGGATGCAACAGGTCTCTTCCCCACTAAAACAAAGAAATGGGAGAAATTGAGCCTCTGTACTGCCCAATTTGGTTTCTAATGTGTCCTAAGGCTTGTATCATTAAATGTCGCTGTACCAAAATTCACAGTGAGCTAGGAAAATCAGCAAAAGCTACATCTTTATCTCAAGAGCTCAGGCTGTAGCACCTAAAATCTTCCTTTTCATTGACAGTTCTGCATCCTAGCATGATTCCCCCTGGGACTCTCTCAGAGAACTCAGAAGGATTTCTGTGTATACATGGACTAGTGTCTATGGTATTTAACATGAAATAAAAATAGAAAAGATAAATAAATGTGTGTGTACATCACACTGTTGATGGTAAGAGTTCACTTTTGGAAATTAATGACAGGGTATGATACAGTTGATTTTCCAGAAAAAACAGCATACAAAATGTGAAGGTAGTTTCATTAAATAAAAACACTTTGACTGTTCATGAAACAGAAACAAAAACCATTTCCTTTTTCTCCCAAAGACCATAATTTACAGTAAATATCCATATTAAAAAGTTACTTAGAAACAAAAAACAGTTTTAAGAAGGGCAAGGACTTTCTTGCTTTAAAAGCAGAGACAAGAATATAAAAACTCCTGTAAATGAAATACTTGTCACAAATTTCATTGCTTTTCTTCATAAAATTAACAATGCCTGTAGATGACTACAAGTTCTACTACCTACGGCTTGAGGAACAATTCAGTGTTGTGTTTGCTCAATCAACAGCTACTGTTGCTGTTTGTTTGTTTGGGTTTTGTATAATATATACATTTTTAAAAGGATCCCATACAACAATTTGTAGTTATACAAATGTGTTAGATGTATACATTAAAAGTGTTCAACAAGCATATTTTTTTTTGTTTGGAGTATTAAATTAACCTTCAGGGTTTGGTCCACTGGCTGTACAAAGAACTCTTGTAATTTAATAAGGAATTTGTTTGGATCCATAGCAAGGCAGTTTCCATATAGGTGATTTATATTCTCCTACCTAACAGAAACTGTCATTATAAATCACAAGAAAAACCAAAACCAACAAACAAAAGGAAGAAACCCAAACTCCATCACAACGTGGCAGTGGTTGCCTACACATTCATCCTGTGGCAGCATTGGTGGGAACAGCAGAATTCCTATATAATGGCATGATCCAAATTCCACTGCAAACAATAGGTCATTTTCTCTTGTCTTACTTAATATTGAATCATCACTAGGAATTGGTTCCAATTTGGCTAAACATTGGTTGATGACATAGTGTGCTCTCATTTGTTTTCAATATTTGACATACGAAGATACGGTGGGGGGAAAAAAACACAATACAAAAAAAAAAAAGAAAAAAACATTTTACTAGATTTTTACATTTAGTAAATGGTACTTAAACGCCATGGACATGAAAGTAATTTTAAACTTTACCTTTGAAATTTTACTTTTTTTCAATATTTCATAAAAAAGAAACGCTCTAAGATACTGTTTCAGACCACAGAATTATTACAGAACATAAAGATTATATGCAAGGGTTTAATCCTTTTCCCAACAAAGATGGTGGCCAACACCATTTTTACTCCAATGGGAGAGGGGTCAGCTGAGAATGTGCCATGTTCCTAATTGGAAATCTCCTTTGTGATAAAAGAGTCAATAGTTTGGCAAATACTTTGCCTTTGTAATTTCAATTCTATCAACAACTATTCCTAGCCACAAGAGAAATATTTTTAGGCAATATATTTGTATAGTTTCACAAAACTATGTCAAAGAGAGATGTGTGGGTGTTTGTGTGTGTGTATGTATGTATGTATGTATGTATGCGTATTTATGAGCTTGGGATGATATTCTTAAAATACTTAACTTCACTTACATTATATCTTACATTGCAAAATGTACAGACACCCAGTGTTCTTTTTAACAACATATACAGGTGAATTTATAGAGCCTTGAAAAAGATTTTGTGATTCTAAATTAAAAACCATAGAAACATAATCAAAATAATGGAGAGTGATTTATACCTCTGATAGTACATAACGCTCATTCGGGTAATATTGACAGCTGCATCTTTGGCATTGAAAATTCATTACAATTTTTAGACAAAATGTTGTTGCTTACAGCTTTTTTTTTTTTTTTAACAAGAAAAACAGGATTGACCAAAATACGAATATTGGGGAAGTACTATTAAAGGTTTATTTTATTTTTGTTTTTAGCAAGGATAGCTTAGGAACCCTGAATTATCTTCTCACTTTAGTGTATGGTGTAGACTGTATGAATCCATTTAAAAATCAACTAAGTTGTACCACGTTCTTCGGAAAATTATATATAATATAATATATATATATTTTATATTTATTTAGAAGCTTTGAAATAGTACAGTAAACACTTTGCAACACGGTGTATAAACTACAGAATGTCTTTGATAATTTTGTGGGTCTTCAGATTAACAACATTTTTATGACCCACACGTGAAAAGAACATGATCACAATCTCTCTTGTAAAGTTGGAATAGTTTGGGGAACACTTGATCACACAAAAATAATATAAAACAGTCAAGTTTAAAACAGTGATATTGCATTTATAATGCACATCTCTTTTATCTGTACGATTGGCTTCTTGTGGTGAATATAAACATCTAAAGGGCTCAGTGACATTTTGGAGAGAGAAAGATATATAGTGCTGTAAACAGGCACACACTGATCAGAGAGGCAAGATCAGTTGCCTCTTAAGTTTCTACAGTTCTACACATTTCAACTCATTTCTCAGGCCTGCTGAGAGCAATTAGGTCCTATTGTTGGCCATGATGTCTCCAACAGCACACAAATCCTTCAGTTACACAGAACTGGATGGCCAAGATAATGAAGTTGAAAGTTGATGCTTTTTGTTGGTCGACTTTTGTGCAAATCATGCTGCTTCAGGTAAGTCCTGTAGAAGTGACTAGCATATCCTTTTCCGTGCTGCGGGAAAGAAAGAAAGACACTTCTGAGAGAAAAAAAAATAAAAAAATCAGTCTCCAACAGTTCTTAGGTTTATTATGTCTTAGAGGGTATGGAAACAATCAAAACTTGTCACAAACTGCCGCTTCAAATTCCCATTATAGCAAGCAGTTTAATGTAGATTCACTTTTCAGAGAAAAGTCTTTTTGAGGCTTGATAGTCAGAATACCAAATTTCATAGGTTGTTTTATTATTCTGTCTAACACGTCAAGGCAAGTATTCCAACGTGCCTGTATGTAATTGGTAGAAAGACAAGGCAAATAGTCAGTTACAGGTTCAATATTACTGGAATTTCACAGCCTAATTTTTCCCTAGTTCAGCTTACTATTTGAAGCAAGAGCTAGACTTCCCCCAAAGATTCAGAAGCTGGTTTTCCTTCTCTTTCAAAGTGAACCATTATCCTCATCACCAAATGACCTTTTAGTCTGGTTTGACAGACGAAAATATGGTGCATTAGTGCTACAATTCAAATTTCAGCATTTACTGTCAGGCTGGAAATTAACTCATGTTACATGGATGAAGAAGGTCAATGCATTAGCAAAGCCATATCCTAATCCACCAGCTGTGGTAGATATATTACCTCAAGACACTAGCTATTTTAATTGTAATTGGGAGCAAAGGTAAGAAATGATTTGTACTAGCATTCACGAAGACCCTGGGTTAAATTCTGATCTCAGTCACACACAAAACCAAGGAATTAATTCCCTTGCTGAAGTATTATTATTAGCAACATCATCATAATCATTAGTAAAGCTTGTAATGATAAAATCAGGTTTTACCTTAGCTCCAAATCAATTAAATCCCTACTTGAAATTACATATATTTCTGTGCATGAAGTTTACAACTAAAACAAAAAGGAATCTTATCTCCCAAATGAAACTTTGAATCAAGCCATCCGTAAATGTAGGTTGATGTCTGCATGTTGACACATAAACACATCCAGTCTCCATTCCATTTAACATAGAAATATACATTAGCCGCAGTTATTCCCTATATATTTATTCCCTAGTAAAGGTATGAAATCTACCTACTGCATCACAGGGAAGTCAAGGCTACTTACAGGTGAATGTTACCATGGGTGTTGTATATTCATCTAATTTAGCCTGCCTATACCATAGGATGCACACAGGAAAATGTTGAAATCATTTCTGTATAAACTCTCTTTTCAACATACAGACAATTGCCAGATGTGTTATTAGCATTAAAATTAAAACATCTAATATACAATGCTTTGGATGTTTCAATTCTGTGGTAAATTAACAGCAGACTTAGAAAGAATTTTTAAAAGCTTCCACTAGCTATTTTTTAAACATTGTAGTAAAGATTAATGAGATCAGAACCTTCATGATATTTTGATGCAGTATGCAATCAGATTAATCAAGTTTCTAGATACCTTTTAAAATATCTTTTTAAATATTACAAGAAACAACCATTCCACTAACAGTAATAAAAATAGCAAAACATATTGGATCTTTTAAACTTTTTTCCCCGAAGTTCAGTAGTAATTTCAGTTCTCTTGTAAATATTTAAGCATAGTCGTCTAGATTGGTGTCTGCCACTGAGGAACTCGTGCTGCACTACAGACACAGGACTTCGATGGGAGAAAGATATACAGAGATACAGCTGGGGCAATCGCTGCTTTCATGCTGCACTACTGTCCCACTCCCATCTGACACAGTGCCTTGGTGGGGTTGATGTGGTACCACCTTGCAGATAATAGAGAGATTGAGTTACTGACTGTGTCTGGCCTTTTGCCATGTAAATTGATGCATTTTAAAATTTTTAATTTTCAGTTAATATGCCTATATTACAAAACAATCAGGCCCTTTTATAGCAATAACTAAATGTTGTGCATTAGGTTGCAGAACACCTGCAACTCTCCCTACCTACAAAAATCCTTTTCCCAAATCCTAAAATATCCTCTGCCAACACATAAAATGCACTGGATTTCAAAGGCAACTTTTGTACTTCATGGTTGTTTGGGGTTTTTTTCCTGGTTTTGCACAGAAATTTATGTGCAAGCAAATCTCTCCATGTCTATCCCAGTTTCCGTCTTTTTACAGATGGGGAATATAAATCAGAGAGGTTAAATGGAAAGGAGGAGGGACTTAGCTTAAAACAGAGGACAATGAAAATTCTGACATCTGTTTCTAGCTCTGTGTGTGTGCATGCATATGTAGTCATAAATAAACTTTTAATAAGAAACACTAAGCCTCTCTGTATCACAGCTTCTCCATCTGTAAAATGGGAATAATATTGCTTACCTATCTCCTAGAGGTGCAGGAAGGTTTAAATCACTATTCTTTATAATCCACTTTGAGATCCAGAGATGGCAAGTGCTATAGAAATGGAAGTATCAGAGTCAGTGTAAGAGCTGGAAAAAGAACACCATAATTTCTGGTGCCTAATATCTCCTCTGAGATCACAGCTCTCTCTTTCATCCCTATTTTATCTCCTGTTCTGAACTCTCAAACTAGTACACAGGGAACTTCAGGTCTGTGTGAGTACATGTACTGGTCAGAAAGAGGGCTTTAATAATAAGCAGTTTCATAATTCTGCTAATGCAATTATACTATTTGTACATATATTCTAACAGTGTTTGATGTGAACAAGATGATTAAAGAATCATAAGTATTACAATTAAAGTTCTTAGGCTACGGGATTTGTGCTGTGCTGACTATTGATCCTTCCCCAAACACCTGCACAAGAATTTTGCGTGTTACACTAAGAGCACTTAATGCATAAAATTTATATGGAATAAAATAAAATAAAACCCAGCAAAAAATATTAAGATTCATTTGTTGCTCAGTACACACTAGTAAGCCTCCCATCCACAGTGAGCTAGTTCTGTGTAGACTGATAGGAGAAGACATGTAAAGACATCGGTGGCAGATGAACAGAAAAAGAAATGAAAAACAATTAACATAAGAAGCAGGAGAGAAAATAAAATATGCAGTGATTATTCCTAGCTCAAGGATCAGAAATGAACAGAAAATACTGTAAAGTCCTAGTCTCTTTAGTAAATCTTCCCTTCACCCTGTTGTGAATCATCCTATTGCATCCAAACTTGATGTCGGATTACTACTTTATAGCCTTGAGTACAGGCAGGTACATTTCCTCTTTCGGCAAAGCCTAGAAGGGATTGCATGTACTTGGAACACCTTCAAACTCTGCAAATCAAATTTTTTTCCTGCTTAGCAGTGGTAGCTAATCTATCGAGGACAGAGAGGGTCCACTGCTTCCCTCCACAGCTGGTAACACAAGCAGAGAGAAAAAACACATCCTATATATTTTATAACTATTGTCACTTTCCTTCTGGACTATTTTTTAGAGTTCTATAAACTCCCACAGCATTGTATCTTACCAACTGGGAGTCTCCCCAAGTGCCAACAGCCTGAAGATCCAGATGAACCCCTAGATAATAAAATCTCCAAAGAATATCAAATGCCAGGTAGATTGCTGCTGTTACAGAAATACTCCTGATCCCCCTTCACTTGGGAAAAAGATGACCTAAACCCCTCTCTTTTAAATAAAAAAAAAAAAAGCAATGCAACAGGAGAATGGTGGAAAAGCCAATATGTAAACTGTCATCTTGCTGTTTCAGATCCAAACTCTTTAAGTTCACACAATATCCAAACAATATTTTTCTTCATATAGGTTTTCACAAATGGGTTTCTACGCGAGCACTCAACTCATTGCCTTTTCTTGTGTGTCGCCTGTAAAAACTGTGCGCTCCACCACACCACCCACGCAGGTGTTCCCCACACAACACAGCAACTGACACAAGGAACACAGGAAGTTGTAACCTCCTGTGTTTCACTCAGAAACAGTTCAGCTAGTCTGGCTTCATTTGTAGTGAGTAATAATTTAAAAAGGAGTTAATTACCTCCTAAGCATTATGGCAACGTTGGTTTTAAATGTGCATTATTAATTTTAACTATCTTTTCATTTTGATAGTTCACTTTACAATCTATATGTTAACTGTAGTAGATGAAACATGGTTCTTCACTAAGTTCCATCAGCTTCAACAGAGGCATAAATGGACAATTCTAGTGACAACCAACAGACTACAAATTCAGCATTCCAGCTCTAACTCAGCCCAACTGACCATAGACCAGGACCTAAGCACTGGTAAAAGGTATTCTCTATGAAATAACCTGCCTGTTCCAGTTAACTTGGAGCTCAAGTTCAGATATCAGCAGCTATATTTTTTGGAAAGAGGTCAACAAGTGAACGGGAATGCAGAGCAAACTGCCATAGCTCCCTCACCCTTCGTAGCGGTGCATCCAGGTAAAGGGTGAGACACACGGCTGGGGCTGGGGCTGGGGGATGTAGGATGGGGATTACTCTGCTGCCACCCATGTTCTGCGGATAAAAAAGTATTCCAGTCATTGCAGGTATCAATTCAGTATCTTTTGCAATCCATTAAGCCTTTTTTTTTTCTTTTTAAAATGAGTTGTTACTTAAAGAAGTTTGTTAAAGCATTGCAAATAATATTTTATGAAAATTCTATTAATAGCATTATAAATAGAGATTGTCTTATCCAGCCAAATAAACTTCAGTACACAAATATGAAAATAGCATTTTTCTTATATATCTTTTCCTCATGAATTAGTTTAAAGGGAACTTTTTTATTCTTTTCTTTCAAGGCTTTAGTGAAGAGATTTTGTGTTTCAAATCTTTGTATTCTGTAGAGCACATTTGGATAAAATAGCTCGCATTCCAGATGCCCATGTTACATTTTATACAATTAATATGGTTTTTTAAAAAGATGGAACATACTTATTTTTTTACTTGAAAATATGTATAAATAGTTAAATAAGATCAGCTCTTCCCTAATGCCAGTGAGTCCATTGGCTCTGGTGACCACTGTTTGTGTGCTTTATGTATGTCTGAAGAGTCCTGAAGGTGTAAGGTAAGAATAAGACCACACTCTGTCTGTCCAATTCAGGCATGTGACAAGACAGGGAAGGCAAGAGAATCTCCCACACGTGAAACTGCCAGTTGCCCCAGGGCAGAATTTGTCCCTAATAATGATATGCCACTCAGTATGGCTGAAATGTTCCTTCTGGGATCTACAAAGCCCAAGATATAAATATTGTTTCTAAAATAAACCAAGAGCATTTGGACTGATGGGTACAATTATCTAGATTTCATGTGAAACAAAAAACCCAATTGTGAGCATCAGGTCTTCAGGCTGTGAATAAATTAGAGTAGGACAAAATGGAAAAGTTTTTAATTGTTGCACTGAAACTTTTCTGGAGACAGGTTTGCTTTTAGCTGAATAAATAACCCCCACAGACCATTAAAATCTTTCCTTCCTTTGAGAGTACATCTCTACTTCTAGAACAGATATGATTATGCAACTCCCCCTTTTTTGTATAAAAAACCCAACGTAATCACATATATTGTCCTTTTCTTTTGTCTTGCACTAAGCACATTTCCATGTTTATATTCACTTAAACCAGTTCAAGAAACAAGGATTTCCAACCATGCCAAAAGTTGACAGTGCTGGATGTTCCACTGGCCATAACCTAAAGAACATGACAAACAACATTACATACTCCAGGAAAAGTGGGCAAAATTGCACTTTGCACTTAAATACAAAACTGCCACTTTTCAAATTTGAACACCTTGATCTACACCAACAACTTAAACAGATTATCACTCTTTTTCAAAAAAAATTATTGACCAAATTGCTGACTTACACATACTGCCTATTAGCTTAATTTCAAGATTGGAAAATTCATTATTAAAGGATATTTTGATGTTTGGAACATGTTTTGGTAACTATTTTCATATGGCAAGTGGGATGCCTGATGCAAATGCTGACATATCATGACAGTCACTGAAATAATGTTTCTCTGGTACTATTGAGTGCTCTGAGATTTATATGCTACGTGGACTTAGTTGATTCTCTGAAAAAACAAATAAACAAACAAACAACTTTTCAGTTCTTTAGAATAACTATCCAAGTCTCAGTTTGTGTAAGCACTAGATAAAATTTCTCTCTATTTAGGACTAGCCTTGAGCATAATCTTAAGTTTAAGCACTGACCTTAATCAACATGTGCTTTACATTAAGTACATGACTAAGAAGAATTGTCTTTTGAATCAAGTCCTGCATTTTGTCATCAATGTTCTGTAACACACAAGATACTGTTATGTGCATTTGATTTTCTGTTCTAAATGTTGACAATTTTCTTTTCCACCATCAGCAACAACCTGGTGGCACAGCAGATGTCAGATTTGATTTATCTCTGGTTGCCATTATTTACTACCGAAACAATGCTTTTTAGTTACTACAATTCAGCACAGAAAGTGCTAAGCTATATTCTATAATGTACCATAAAAATACAAAGACAGTTTTCCCGCAAGATACAGTGGGAATAAAGCATCTTTGTCTTTCTGTACTATTATAACCATATTATCTACCTGAAAATACTCAAGATAGTACATGACATCAACATTATAGTCAGAGAATCATGGAATATTTAATTTTGTAAGAGTTCTTATAATTATGTACTGTGTTAAGACCAATTAAATAACTCCTAAATTACTCCTGATGTATGTCAAACTTACACCACAGAACATATTCCCTAAGAGTATTTCCAAATTCTCCATCAACAACTTATTCTAATTGTATACATGTTCTAATAGCAAATTCACATTCTTCCCAATTTACCTATTACAAGTTGATAATTTCAGTACGATCCTTAGTAATACCAATATTTGATTCCTTTTTTCTTTTAATAAAATTTGCTTATATGCTTGCATGCAACAATAATTTCTTCTCCCCGATCTTCTTTTCTTCTTCCTCTATGTGTTTTTGGGGTAGTTTTTTTCAAAATTTACCATTTTTTATTGCACTTTCCCGAAATCTACAGTATATATCTCTTTAAGCTGACAAGCCCAAAAACTAACATGTCAGTTTGAGGATTAACCAATGCAGAATACACTACAGGCTGGCTACAATGTGACTTAAAATTTTCAGTGCCCTGGGGAGAAGAGGAGGGATATGAACACTTCTCTTAAATTGCTCTTAAGTGCCTAAGTTCCCTATAGATTCAAGGGAGAAGCACACATGTAGATCCCCATTTGGTGGCCTTTGGAGGTGCCTAAATTATTCATGCTGGATTTGGCCTGAAATAATTAAATTTACTTGTTCTTACACGAGATAACATGCAGTACAGCATTACATCAGCACCATACTGTGTATTCCTACACAATTTATGTTTGCCATGATGTTTTTTCCAACACTCCTCTCTCCTAGCAGGGATCAGGTGTCATTAGGACCGGACAGGTATGTTCTGACTCTTTTTATGAATGTTTTATTTTCTGTTTCTAAAGCACACTGCTTTTCACGATTTCAGAGTCCTTCCCAGTTTACCAAGATAACACACTTCAGTGTATCACATAACCTTCTCACAAGCCTTTCAAAACTTCCCTTTTTCAAAAACACATATTGGCTTGGTTTCTATCCATAAATGCAGTTTGCCCATCACCCTTCTTTGTCACTTAAGACTACCAGAATGGAATGATTTATATTCACATTATTAAAATTTCTCAGCCATATCAAGCAATATATTGGGGCCACAGAGTGTGATCATATCCAATCTGCTTTCAGGAATGGTCCCTGGCATCATGTCTCAGACTCATTAGGGAAAAAAAGTGAGTTGACAGAGGCTAAAGGCAGGCCAGAGAGCGTCAGAGTACAGACCATAACATTCCAGTGGTGGGATCCTATTTAATTCAATAGAGCAGCCATAAAGAATATTGGAAGTACAAAGCACACTGTCCTTTATCTCGTGTAGAGCAGGAAAAAAGTTATTACTGCATCTCATTTGTAAGGTAGAACCCTTTTAGATCTCAGTTCCTATCAATGCCCACAGCTGTGTGCAGCTCCATTCAATTGTCATCTAAATTTCAATTGAGAATAGATGGATGTCAAATTAAAGCCCAAATAGGCAACTAAAAAAGTCACAAAGTGACAGAATTTTACTCTCACAAAAGATGAATCCACAATATCAGCATCTATAAAATTCCTTATGAATAAAGAAAGGTTGCATTCCAGCAGTTTCATAATGAATCCTTTTCCAGGGCTGAATGCAGCCGTGATGCTGGAGGTGAAAAGATAAAGTCAGAAGACTCGGCTCACTTGCAAAAACAGGAGTCCATCACCCCTGTAACTACTTGGGTGAATCTACTCTGCATCCTCTATTTTTCCTTTCTAATCTACATTACTTCTGATAACCTGTGAAAGTGTCATGTAAAATAGCATCATTTACATATATGAAATAGATTCATGTGTATGCAAGAAATGCAGATTTACTCTTGAAATTCATACATGCATGTAACTTTCAGGCAGAATTTGGCAAGCAAGTTCTGAAAATTTGTCTCCCCTTTCTTCAACCAATAAAGAAATTGAAGAAAGAAATCAAATCACCTCAGAAGAGTTTGGATTTTCAGTGGATCCATATCATATTTAGTTCTTCCAACATTTCACTAGGTATTGAAGTTAAAAATAATATTCTAATTGTATCTTCTACTTCCTCTACAAGACAGTACCAATACATAATTTTTCACTCTTCTGCCCTCACCACACTATGTTTCTAAAACAAATACATTCACAATTACTTCCCAGCAGCAATCATTCCACTGCTAGCACGGAACTGTAGATTCTCAGTGGCTGGTGCACAAATAGAGCTGTTTACAGGCTTGCCAGATAAACAGCAACACTGATCCCCACAGTGTGCTTGTCCTAGCACCATGAACAGATGCAGCTCCCTCTCTTACTGGCTATTTGTTGCATTCTTTAAATGGTTTTTCCTATTTTTTCTACTTTGGTCAAGGGGAAAAAAATAAGAAAAAGAGAAGGAAGTCCTCAAAACTTATAGCAGTGGAAATGATTGTGGAAATTTAATTATTGTGTACAGCAAAAGAGCCAAAACAAGTACAATTTCCTCTGCTCTGTAAGCCAAGAAGTTCCTTGGATAGAGGTAAGCAGAGAGGAAAAGACTTTGCTGTGCACAGACCCAAGATTAAGCACATATTCAGTTCTCTAGCTCCTGACTGTCACAATAAGGAGGTTTGTATATTGAAGAGCAGCGTTTATTTATAATTAATAGAATTTGCCTATCAAAAATAAATAACTTTAGTGCCTTTCAAAATTTTAGCTGCAAACATCTCATTGCTTTCCAAAGAATCTTGTGTCCCTAAGTGGCTAAATTACTTTTGTCACAGGATTTAGATTTATAGGACAAGAGGCATTTTTGAATTTTAAATCAGTGTTACACAGTAATCTTAAAAATTACTTTAAATTTTCAAGCAATCTTTTTGCTTCTTCATATTCCACTGGTAGGAATC